TGTGCGAAATAGAATGTATTTAATGTCCCAGTCATTTAAAGAATTTATCACTAATCTGTTATTTTTCTGAGCAAAAAAAGTTCCAGCTTTGTAGTTTTCGGTGGCTTTATGCATTGGCGTCCTAGACAGAACCCAGCTATTGTTTTGCTTTTGTGAGAAAGCCTATAAGTCTAAAATGAGTGTTTTTTGTTTAACAAGTCTGCTATTAAACTTATTTTTAGTAATTCCTGTCTTGGAAATTGTTTGCTGCCCATGTTGGTGCATCCCAGAATGTGCACTTACGCCAGTAAGAAAAAGAAAAGACTTGTTTTAAAGATGAGCAGGCCTGCTCCTTCAGAGACTGCCTTCAGGCCTGGAGTTTCAGCTTCGGTCATACTTGATTGTTTTGTTGGTGAAACAAAGCCGTGTGCATTCCCCGTGCAGCCTGCACAGCCCCACAGCTAGAGAGGGCACAGCCGGAATCATCACTGTTCCCACTGAGAAATGCACCAGCACCCTGCCCCGCCCCTGCTCCACAGGGTCTTTTTTTTTTTTTTTTTTTTTTTTTTGGGGCAGCAAGCTCCATTGAATGGTTCCTCTGTATTAAGGAAGGCACCGTATTGTGGGGTTAATTCCCTCCCCTTTGCCTCTCTGGCATCCATAGCAGGAGCCCGGCCTGGTGGGCCTGGGATTCACCAGGCTGCAGGCAGGCAGGCAGGCCGGCCTCTGTGCCCCGAGGAAAACTCGCCTTCACAAAGGGAATTTCATGATGGTCCTGTGGCTCTCTGACACAGTGGAGGCTTCAGGAGCAAGTGGTAAAAGCCACCAAAGAGAAAGCTGGCCCAGAGCCACTGACGTCACGCCTGTAAATCCATTGGTGGAGCCCGGCCGGGCAGCGCCTGCCAGCTAGCCCCTGCACTTTGGCCTTACTGCTTCCTCCACCCTCCCCTGCCCTGCAGGCCAGCCTGCGTTTTTGTTTTCCCTTTTCCCCTTTCCCTCTGTGCGACTGGGCTTGTGTTGAGACCCGGAGCGCTTTGTGCTTCAGGTCCCCTGTCGCGGGGGCTGGGGAGAGTCTGAGGACTGGTGGGTGAGGGAGGCTTGAGACCTTTTCTCGGGGGTTGAGGGGGGAGCTTCCCTGTGATGAGGCCACAGGGAACAGCCAGCAGTGGCAGCCTCTGACTGTATCCTTGGAGAGAGCTTTGGAATGTGTATGAGGGGTGTGTGCACACGTGTGTGCCTATGCATATGTGTGTGTGCATGGTGGAGAAGTGTGGAAATGCACTTTGAGTCCCCGTGCAGAGGATGATTTAAGAGAGAGAGCTGCAGTGTGAGTCCTTTTATTAGCCATTACTCACTGCTCAGCTAACCCCGAACTTGCCCTGGTTTCCATCTGTAACAGTTAAATCCATAGCTGTGTGCTTCTGTACATCGTGGGTATTTAGAGTCACAGCCCCAGATGGACCCGAATTAAAATACTGCTGTGCTGAATCTATTTTTATGTCTCGGGGAGTGACGTCTAAAAATAAACCTTATCCCACCTGTTAGCCACTTCGGGGAAGTTCGGAGGACGCTGTTATGTTGCAGCCCAGAGATTAAGCTTCGATCACAGCCTCCCACGTGATGCCCACATTCCACTCTCCCTGCCCCTGGCCTGGTGTTTTCATTGTTGCAGTCGCTGTTGTCCTCTTATTTGTTTTGCCAAGAATATTCGGTTGCAAGTAGAGTGAAGTATCAAATCAGAGTGGTGTTGAAGTTCCCGAGTGATAGGGTCAGAAACATACTAAAAGCAGTATCTTATCCATGAATCATGAGATGAGTCAGTTCCCGAAACCACTACAAGCCTCATAGTTCTTGGCTACAAGCAGAAGCAGGAAATCCAGGCTTCAATAACTTCCTTTCCCAGTGCTGGCTATGGCTGCGTTGGTGGTTAGGTTCTGCTGCCTGCTTTTGTAAGCGGTGAGATGTATGTCTGAGGGGCAGAGGCTCTCCAGTCAATTCACTGCAACTGTTTATAATTTGTGGTCTTGATCTGAATATCAGGCTACACTGGCACACCCTGCTCTGCTGGGCGGCCCTGCACTGCTCCGCTGGGAGAGGCGGCGGGCTGTGTCCGGGGCAGTGCCCCAGCAAACACGTGGCCCGTGTGTCAGGAGACTGTAGTGTGCCTTGAATCTCAAAACCTGAGGCGTGCCAGCAGGAACGAGGAGGAAAGGGAGCCCTGGACTCCATATGTAGAGTTGAAGAATTGACTTCTTTTGTTTGTTCTCCTGGCCCAGAGAGAGGGGGAGAGAAGAAACAAGCGCACACAACACACTTGCCAGCCGTTCGCTTCCTTATACACAGAGCCTTTGTTGATGTTGTTCTTCTGCATGCAATGTTCCAGGCCGGTCTTCTTGACTTCGGATCAATTTGATGATTGTTTCGTTAAACATTTTCAAGAGTCAGGAGAAGCACATGGTGTGGTCGCCTCTCCAAGTCCTGGCTCTGCTGTGACTTGAGTTTATTTTCCCCAGGTCGGAGGGGACCGGGGTTGTTGGGGTTTCTGTCAGCGTAGAGTTGGTCCTCACTGCTGCTTCACTTGTGAACTTAACGGGCTTTTTTGATCTTGAAAAAACTAAAGTTGAGTGCGGTGTGTTTTCATGTGTCAGCGCTTACTGTTCTTCTAGACTCATCTGTGTTCCCTAACTTTGGGATTTGAGAAAATAGGATTTCAAGAAGACTCCTTTCTCCCTGTTTTAGGCTTCTGTGGAGCCCTTGCAAGTTCTAATTGCTATCTGAAAATAGAGTGGGGAGACAGGCTCTGGGGAAAGACAGAAGGAAGCCATGCAAATTGAGACAATCAGTTGCGTGTGGATACTGTTTTTTAAATTGAGCCTGTTTCCAGTTCATAGCTGGCAGTGGCTCAGAAAGGTCAAATTCTTTTTCAGCCTTTGTAGGGAATACAATAAAAGCAAGTGCAAAAGTTTCCCTGGCTTCTTAATGAAGCATGGCCGATGCAGCTCACAGCCAGGCAGGTGAGCGCCACTTTGCTCTTACTTGTCATTTACATTTTGCGTTTGGGTACTTTTCTGTTTGACTTCAGTCCAGATTAAAAAGCCATTGGGGAAGCTGGGTTCATTTTGATTTTAGAGGTTTGACTGGGAATCATCATTTCTGACCTCAGGTTTTCCAGATTTTGGGCTGGTACCAAAAAGCTCTTTAGTTTTAGGTGAGTTTGTTTGGAAATTTCTGTGAAAATATATTCCTCTTATTAACATCTCAAGTGTTATTGCCTAAACTTGGAGGAGATTTTGCCTTACCTTGAGAGAGGTACAAATCCAGTTATTTTTATTTGTCCAACATTGATCTGAGAGTTAACTTCTCTCTTATGTAGATTTCAGGCTGGGAGTAGAGGCTGAATCTTGAATTGCTTACTATCCCTGAACTGAGTTGTCCTTGGCCAGGGATTGATTCATTAATTAAAATCAATGTAAATGGATTTGCAAGCCTCCCGTAACAGATTATCTTATTAGCAGCCACACAGAGCGGCCCAGGATCTGTGAGGAATGTGTTTGTTGCTTGAGGTGAAATAGATCCAGACTGATGGACTCTTTGGGGCTATTTTATGAAAAATCCAGCTTCCTTTGTAAGGAAGGAGCCTCCGTTAGCCTTTATGTTGAACAGGTTCTTCTGAGGGATGGACAGTTATTTTACTTTCTGAGGCTGCCCCAGAAAACTTGAGTGTGTGTGTGTGTGTGTATGTGTGCGTGTTGTGTGTATGCGCAGTATGTGTTGTTTGTGTCTTCCCGGTTTCGTGTCTCACTCCCACCCTTGTGTATGTGTGTATGTGTGCTGTATGTGTTGTGCCTGTCTTCCCAATGCCTATGTCTTGCACCCATCCTTGTGCACATGCACGCCTGTTATGTGTTGTGTGTATTTTACCAGTACTGTGTCTCATCCCCACCCTTGTATGTGTGTGTGTGTGTGCAAGTGGTATGTGTTATGTGTGCTTTACCGGTGCTGTGTCTTGCCCTCACCCTTGTCTGTATGTGCGTGTGTGTACATTGTGTGTGCGGTGTGTATTGTGTATGTCTTCCTGGTGTCACGTCTGGCTGCCACTTCTGCATACATGCTCACCAGCACCTTCCCATGTATTCCCCAGGCTCTGCCTGTCTCAGGCAAGATTTCTGCTGAGAACTCTTTCTAGAGAAAAGGAGGAACCAGAAATAAGTTCCTATTTGGTAACAACAAAATGCTTGCTTTCTCCAACCCAGGCCACCAACAAGCGAGCTACACAGAAGATGTTTATCTGTTATTTGAGGATCTGCTGTAGAGCGGGGCTTCCTTAGAGGGAGGATAAGAAGACATGCTGATACCTTGGGAAAACCCTGTGGCTTTAAGAAGGTCAGAGTGCCTTCCGCCGCTGTCACTACGCTGTGGTTTTGGGTGACTCTGCCGGACAGGTAGATAGTTTCAGTAGTGAGATCAGCCCAGGCAGTGTTTCTCTGATGTTTGCATCAAAGCAGGGACATCTGACCCAGGCTGAGTTAAACTTTGCCTCCTGAGCATTTTGGGTTTGAGTCCGCAATCCTGGTTTGCCTTTGATGCTTCCGCGGTACTTGAGGGAGATGCTGATGGGGGAGTGGGTGTTTGACCCACGGGTCTGGAGAAGCGTGGCTGACAGCCGCTTTACAGGACTGGCACAGAGCAGCTGTGTAGAGGAGCAGGTGAGAGGTGCGTTTCTGGATGGTTTTCCGTTTGCTGGTTTCCATCTCTCAGGATGGCTGGCTGCAGTTCCTATCTGGGGCGTCTTGTGATAGACCCCTTGGCCTTACAGTGAACCTATTTTCTCTTACCTTTCTCCCTCTCTTTTAGGATTGTGGGAGTTTCTGTTAATTTAAACCAAATGATCTTTGGCTGGCTAGTGTGTTGGGTAATAAACTGTTTCTAGTATGCGAAGAGGCCCCACTCAGCAGAGGCTGCTCCGTTGGGTGGCATGCGGCCTGCTGTTTGTCACACAGCGCTGCTGTCTCCAGCACCCAGAGCTGCCCTGCACCCTGCTCGCTGGTGGGTGTTGGGTCCACAGGAACATTGTTTTGGTCCTTGCACTGTGCAGCTCGCTGGAGAGTAGCATGAAGGGTTACCTCCCTGCCTGTGTCTTGGACTGGGAACAGTTCAAGGGCTCCCTAAGGCCTATCTGCTGCCTGGTGTGCCTTGTGAATGTCCTGCCTGGCACTAGGTTCAAGCTTGGCAGGTGAGGAATTTCCCCACTCATCCCCGGTTGGCTGAGCACCTGGGAAGAGGCAGGCCAGGTGTGTCATTAGACCTGAGTGTCCTGTCTGGTGGCCCTGCCGCCTGGCCTCCTCCCCTCCCATCTCTGAGCAAGGCGGAAGGCATGCTCTGGGTGACCTCTGGCAAATGCCTCCTGAAGATAAATCTGATAAATACATCGTGCACACGCTCATGCTGCCTCCGTCGGGGAGTCTCACTGCTCACTGGCGTTTTATTAGCAAATGGATTCAATAACCAGCGCCTCTGGAGGAGACCAGTAAGTTGTGTGCCCATGGGGATGGTGTCCACCACAAAGCGCCTGCTTCCTCCACTGCTCCTGGGGTGGGGGGTGTAGGGGGAGTGCGGTGAGGCTCTGAAACAGAAGAGTACAAATGATTTAAGACAGTTTTTTTGGAGGGGAGAAATCCTTAGCTAGACATGCATGAGGGTACTTCGAAATGTTAAGTGGGAAATGGAATTGAAAGCTGAGTTTATTTTGGTGTAAATTTTTAAAATGGTTTTCCGTTTGCTGTGGGCTGTTGTTACAGCACCGTGGGTTAAGCTACTGCCTGGGATGCTGGCATTCCATATTGGAGAGCTAGTTTGAGTCCTGAATACTCTGCTTCTATCTAGCTCCCTGCTAACATGTCTAGGAAGGCAGCAGAAGATGGCCCAAGTGCTTAGGCCCCAGTCACCCATGTTGGAGACCTGTACGGAGTTCCCAGCTCCTGGCTTCAGCATGGCCCAACCCTGGCTGTTGTGGCCATTTGGGGAGTGAAACAGCAGATGGAAAGTTTCTTTCTCTCCATCTGTCTGTCACTCTGCCTTTCAAATAAAAAAATTAAAAAAAAAATCCATGCATAGAAATTTTTCATGGCATGCATTTTCCATGAACTTTTTGAAGTACCTGCATATTCTATTTTTGGTGTGTTTTGCAAATTTGAAATAATTTTTTAGACTTGAATACAACATTCTGTGCTGGGCCCATAAAGTTTAGTTTGGATATTTAGAAAGTGGAAATATACAAAGTTGTTTTCTAAGTTGAGAGGAGCTTGGGAAAGGGAGAGGGTGTGGACTGGAAGGTCCTGGCTCTGCAGAGCCAGTTTCTGGCTGTAACATAGCTCATACTCTTGTGATGTTGTGCAGTGCACCGACTCTCTCAATGGGTTAGCACATCTATCCCTCAAATCAGCTTCTTTTGAAAAGTGGGAGATGAGGAGCTCCCCCCCCCCCCCAATACCACTTGGCTCTGGCCCCCCTTTGCTGCTGTCAGCCCCTGGTCTGGGAGAAGACTGTGTTAAGGTTGGGGAGGTGACCTGGGGGTAGTGGAAAGGAGGGCAGGTGGGGTCTGGAGATGCAAAGGAATGGTTTTCAGCTTTTAGTGCAAACAGATTTCTGCCTAAAAGCAGGAATGGACTCAGGATCTTGTTCACTGGTTTTCAAACCAGGCAGAATGGCTACAGAGTGGGAGCTGAGTGTGCTGAAACTGCCAGGTGATTTTTGTAAAGTATCTGACTCTAACTCAGTTTAGCCCCGGGTCCGTTTACTTAGAATTGTTCCATAGAATTTAGCTACTTGGCATATACAGGGTACTTGTTGGAAACGTAGAATCCAGAGGTAGCAGCAGTTAATAAAGATGCTGCTTGGGATGCCTCATCCCATGTCTGAGTGTCTGAGTTTGAGTCCTGGCTCCACTTCTGATTCCAGCTGCCCGCTAGTGTGCACCCTGGGAAGCAACAGGTGATGATGGCTCAAGTAGTTGAGTTGCTGCTGCCCAAATGTGAGACTGGGATTGAGTTTATGTCTCCAGCCTTTGGCATGTTGTCCCAGCCCTAGATGTGGTGGGCATTTGGGGAGTAAACTGGCAAATAGAAGATTTCTGTTTCTTTCTCTCTGCCTTTCAAATGAATAAAAATAAAAATTAAAAAAAAAAAAGCAGGAACTATATAAGACCTCATCCTAGGTTTGCTGAATTGGAACCTGCATTTTCACAAGATCCTGGGTGGTTAGTATGCGCATTACATTTTGCGAAGCATTGTCTTTCCTCAGTGAAGATCCAAGGGATGTGAGGTAGGGAAATAGCACTAATGCTTTCCAGGTTTGCCCTTTGACTTTTCCCTGAGAAATTGTAAGCTAGATTTATTGCATTCCTTTATGGTTTCCAGGTCTTTATTTATATACTTAGGCTCCTCTACTCTTGGGAAGGTGTTTGTTGTAGTGGTTAAAATGCCTCTTGGGATGTCTGCATCTCATGTGGGAGTGCCTGGGTTCAAGTCCTGGCTGCTGTCCTGATTCCAGCTTCCTGCCAGTACACGCTTTGGGAGGGGAGGCAACAGGTGATGGCTGAAGTAGTTGGGTTCCTACCACCCATGTGGGAGACTTTGAGTTTGTGGCTTCTGATTTGGGCCTGGCCCAGCCCTGGCTATTGTGGGCATCTGGGAAATATGCCGGTTGATGAGACATCTCTTGCTGTCCTTTCAGTCTATCTGCCTTTCAAATAAATAGAATACTACACTGAAATTATTGGAAAAAAGTATTTCTCAAAATTGCAGATCACAATGTACTTTATATAACAAATTATGTTTAGACTTTATTTGGAATGGTATAGGAAGTGAGGTAGGGATCTAGAACTCATGGCTGGTCATTTTTCCCAGCACTATTTATCTTTTCTCCATGGATCTAAATACTGAATATATTCCATTTCCACTTGCTAATTACTGTGGTTCTATAAACTCTCTGTGTGTGTGTGTGTGTGTATATATATATGTAAAATATTTATTTATTTCAAAGGCAGAATGACAGAATCTTCCATCTGCTAATTCACTCCCCAAATGGTCACAATATCCAGGTCTGGTCTAGGCTGAAGCCAGAGCCTGAAACTCGATCCTGGTTTCCTAAGTTGGTAGCAAGTACTTGGGCCCCTCTTCCACTGCATTCCCAAGGACGTTAGCAGGAAGCTGTACTTGAAGCAGGACAGCTGGGATTTGAACCAGAACTCTGATATGGAATGCTGGTGTGCTTAGCTCACTGTATCACAATGTCAGTCCCTAAAATGTGCTCTAATATCCAATATAGCTACTTATTTCCTGTTAATATTCTCTTAAGGATTTTTCCCCTGACTTTTCTCATTGGTTTATGCATTTATTTAATGAATTTTTAGAAAGAGTCTGGTTTTAAAAAATTCAGATGCTTTCTTTATTATTTTAAGAAATTTTACTTATTATGTGAGGCAGAGCATCGGGGGTTGGGGAGGTGGATTTTCCATCTGCCAGGACTCAAACTGGCACTCTAGTATGGGGTGCCAGCACTGCAAGTGGTGGCTTAACCCACAGCATCACACCCAGCCCCTCAGATGTTGTATTTAATGGGTTTGCATGAGGTTGTATATTACTTTAGCCTTCCATTTTTTAAAAATAGTTTTGCCTTTTCTCAGTTATATGCACTAGTACTTGGGAGTATTTTTTGGTAACTTGGATGCCAGCTTTTGCAATGGGCACTTTGGAAGTTGTATCTTTCGTTGAGTTTCGATTCAAAGATTTTCTGCTTATTCTGTACTGCTGCCTTCTGTCTATTGCTTTCAGTAAAACTGATTTATCCACTTGGTTATAAGCCTCACCGGGGAGGGTTCTGTGACTGTCTTGGAAATCCCAGGCATATGGATATTCCATACATAGTTCTTGAAGGAGGTGGAACGAGTGAATTCTCTGGCTGTCTAGTTAAAAATGGGCAGTGTGTGTGCAGAATTATCGGGACTCAGATCCCGTTAATTTGAATCCAGCCAGCTGTTGGAGATTATTGTGTGTGTGTATTTGATGGTTGGGGAGATTGATAACACCAGGTCAGACTGGGGGTGGGGGGATCCTTCTCTTCTTTGAGCAAGCTTGTCAGTAGTTTGGCTTGTGAGCAAAGTCATAGTGGTTCCCCTCAGGGAGCCCTGTTATCCCATCCCCTTCGAATTTTGAGTTTAACTTTTTAGAAAAATATTTATTTGAAAGACAGGAAGAGAGAGAGAGAGACAGAGAGAGAATATGAATCAATCTTCTATCCACTGGTTCACTCTCCAAATGGCTATAATAGCCAGGGCTGGACCAGACTGAAGCTAAGAGCTCAGAACTTTATCTGGGTCTCCCCCATGGGTGGCAGGGTCCAAGCACGTAAGCAGGGATCTGGATAGGAAATGGAGCAGCCAGGACTTGAGCCGGCTCTCATATGGGATGCTGGTGTTGCAGGTGGTGGCTTCACTTGCTGTGCCACAGCGCCAGCCCCTGAGGTTTGATTCTTCCTGTGTGTAGTGTACAATATTTGGACAGTGGCTGTAAGGCTCTATGTTTTCTTTAATAAAACTGCATTTATCCTTGTGTGGACAGATTGTGTTCTTAGAGTCTAAATTCTTAGTGAACACTGGGAATTGTTTACTTAGATTTTTTTCTTTCTTGAAAGGAAGGCTTTGTCTGGCTTATCAGCTTTTAAGACTATTGAAAATCAGCCAAAAAATGTTGGTTGAAGGAAGAGGACACTACTTTGGAGTACTGTGAGTTTTGGTAGCTCTTGTTTGGGGGTGTTGAGGGCTTTTGCCTTTCAGGAACCTGTAGCAAACAAAACAGTAATTCAGATGTTAAACTGAAATTAGGGCTTTGTTTTGAACAACGTTTTGGGAAGCCAGACGGGGTAAGCCAGCATCAGTGAGGCGCTGAAGGTGCTGTGAGTTGCAGTGCTCTGTCTGCCACCATCTGGGCTGGGTGCTGAGGATTTACAGGAGGAGGTGGAGGAGGATTCGAGGCTGCTTGGGACCCTCGGGGACCTCCAGGCGCCAGTGGGAAGGGTGTGGTGAGCAATGTCCTGGAGTGAGGTGGGGGTGGGCCAGGAGAGAAGAGGTCCCGAGTTCCTGTTGAAGCTGAAGTAAAGAAATGACATGTGGAAATGAGCTGCTGGTCTTTATGGTTTCCTGGACATATTGATGACGCTCAACACAAAGAACATGAGTGTGTAAGAAACCCCGTGTAGCCTGTGACAAAATGATGTGAGAAATGTAGACAGCTTTTGCAACAGGAGGAAGCTGCAGAAGGCCGCTTTTCAAAGCTCCCCAGGTGGGTTATTCTGCACCCCCTTCTACTCCCAGCTCTCTAATTGGTTCCAGAACTTTCTTCTATTCTACTCATAGGCTTTATCACTTTGCTGGAGGAGATAGAGCCAACTGGCGTTATTTTTCTGTGTACTCGTTTATCCATGGTATGCCCAGGAATGGTGAGTTCCACTGTCATTTCTCCAGGGCTGTCC